CACATACACGCACACACACACACACACACACACACACAATTTAACCCCCCTCCCAACACACACACACACACAACACTAAATACCTGACTCTGCCAATAGGGGACAATGCGATAAATCCAAATTGTGCAAAATCCACCAAACCATTGACCTGGAGTCTTCAATAAGTCGATGTCATGGGAAAACCAAAACCTTTTTGCTATGGCTTAAATGCATTCTTCACCCCCCTTACCCCCCTTCATGTGATGAAATTTGTTTGTATTATTAAGGTCTTGATTTAAAGCAAAACTTAATCTGCTTATAGTGTTAAAACGTCAGCCTTTGGGAAGTGATAAAACATCAGGTGGGGCCCACAACCAGTCCTGGTGGGTCTATAAAAAGAGGGAATGAGACAGACATGTTCCACGCTTGCTTTGTCTCATATTCCGCCATGTTATTCACCCCAAGACCCTTACCAGCTGTGGCCCCTTAACTTTGGACCTCCAAAACAGCAAACTAAATAAAACTTTTTTTTTTTTTTTTTTTTGCCATACGGCAAGTACACTTACAGGCGAGAAACAGAGAGAAAGTGAGAAATCACCCACCCAACACCACAGGGGAGATGGCCACGCCATAATCCCTTGTCCTCTGTTCTCCTCTTGGGATTTTGGGGATGCATGCACAAGTGCCCAGCGTGATTTTCAGTCCCCCAGGTCTGACACTTGAATTGTGGTCTGCCATGTGGAAATCCAATGCCTTAACCACTATGTCACCTGCTGGCTCCAACCTCTTTTCTCTTAAATTACCCAGACTCAGGTGTCTCTGTTAATAGCCACAGACTAGACTAGAACACCTTTCTAAATTAAACACATCTAAAGAGATATTAATAATTGCATGACCAGCAGATGGCATAATGGCTATGTTGCTGGACTCCCATGTTTGAGTCCCGGACCCGGTGGCTTAAACTCACACCAGGCGTGTGTGCGCGTGTGCCCAAGATTCTAAGAGGAGAATGGAGAAGGGATTGCGGCATAGACATCCCCCAAGGGGGTGATTTCTCACTTTCTGTCTCTCTGTCTCTCTCTCTCTCTGGCAAGCACACGTGCCCTATAGCAAAAACCTCTCTAAATAAATAAATAAATAAATAAATGCATGCAATAAATGTTCCCAATCAGATCAGCTAGGGAAAAATAAACACAGTTATAAAGATCCTTATTGGAATGACTGGTGAAATTTGGATAGGAACTGTAAATTGGGTTAAAAAAGTAGTAAAAAAACAAGATCATGACTCAATTATTCTTTGATTGACCTGCTCTTTCCTGAAGTACTTTGGTAGCTAGAAATCTAAAAACAAGGAAATTATAAGACCTAAAAACATGAAAATTACAAGCGAAACATTTGCTCCATTGAACTGGGCCAAAGTTTTTGTGGAAGAATGCAATTGGGTTGTAGTCATGTAAACGGGCATAAAAACTTATAAAGGACCAAAGTGGACGCTAACAGCAAATGCACACACCGCTGTGGAGTAATTGGTTGGGACAAGCCATCGACACACAGGGAGTGCTGGGTAAGTGCTAACTCATGATAACCAGCAGAGGCCCTAGGTAGGGGCCCTTGCTTTATTGATTTTAAGAAATCCTGCCTAATGAGAATGGATGGCTAGACAAATCAGACAATTTTATCCTCTTTTCAGTAGTTTGACGATGCCTGAGCTGCTGGTTGTAGAACAGCCTTGGCTGTCTCCATCTGAGACAGTGGTGTATTAGTCTCAAATAAGGGGAAATTACACAACAACGTGGAAGCCTGGCTGGCAGTCATTAAAGTAATTCAGTGTTTGGGCTGCCTCTGTGTTTCAGGGAGTGATAGGAACCATTAACAGCTTACTTTTAGTTTCCGAAGCCAGAGATATTTTCATTACTAGTGTCCTCGGGCATAGACTTTTTAATTTAAAAAAAGAAAGTAAGTTCAGGATGGAAATAGCCCATCACCACAGGAACGTTTTTACAGCAGAAACACATTATAGTTTACCTGTCAATCTTACCAGCATGCCAGGTTTATTTTGAATGTCTAGAAAGAGGATGAGGGAATAAGGCAGAAAGGTGAAGGCAGGACCCATAAACCTCAGACTGATAGAGAACCAGCCACTAAAACCTTGGAAAAGCTGAGGCCTTCATTCTAAAGTGATACTGAAATCTCAGGTTTCTTTCCTCTCTGGCTAGTAATCACGTGATTGGGGTAGGCAGGTGGTGCGGTGGTTAAGGGTGCTGGACTCCCACATGGCTGACTGTGGTTCGAGTCCTGGACCTGGCGGATTGGTTTCTCACTTTCTCTCTGTCACTCTGTCCCTCTCTGGTCAAATTTAAATAAATAAAGTTAATTAAAATAATTCTTAAAAAAAAAATCAAGTGATCATCTTGGTCCAGAGATTTTTCCCTTTTTCTTTCAAAGCTATAATTTTCTCCTTTAAAAATATTTTTTGAACAGGTATTATGGCTTATTCAAGTTGGCCACAAATTCGTTGTTACTTTTATTTCCTCCCTTGAATGAGCAGGTGCTGTGTCTCAACAGAATGCAACAGAAAAACACTGTGGAGCTTCAGACTGAGCCTTTTAGAAGACAATGGCTTCTGAATCTCCTTCTTGGAACACTCCTTGGAATCCAGCTACAAAGATGAGAGGGGGACAAGCCACACAGAGCCAATAGCCAGTATCAGTTGGCAGCCATCGGAGCAAGCTGATCTGTATATCCCAGTTGAATTCCAGGAATAGAAGCAGTCCAGGGAAGGCCAGCTAACACAGGACAATCACAGAATCCCAAGAGAATACATTTGCTTTGAATTTGCCAGCAAGCATGTGCACTCACCAAAATAGGTGTGTGTGTGTGTGTGTGTGTGTGTGTGTGTGTGAGAGAGAGAGAGAGAGAGAGAGAGGGAAAGTACCTCCTAAGAGGCATGGTTACTCTGCAATCCATTCTTCATTTTTCCCTCCTTTTGAGATTTTGGGCATGCACACACTAGTGCCTGGTATGGTTTTTCAAGCTGCTGGATCTGGGACTTAAACTGTGTGATTAGTTTTGTGGGACCCAGCTGCCTTAACTATCACACCACACATCTTAATTTTTTCTTTTCTTTTTAATTTTTGCTATAGGGTGCATGTAATCACCAAAGAAAGACACCAGTTGAGAGAGAGAGAAAGAGAGAAATTCAGAAATTACCCTCCAGAAGGGATGTATGTGCCATAATGCCTTCTCCTCTATTCTTCTCTCAGGAATTTGGTCATGTATACACACATACCCAGCATATTTTCCAAGTCGCCAGGTCTGGGACTTGAGCCCTGTACTCAAGCAATGTGAGATCCAGTTGCCTTAACCACCATACCACCTGGCTGACTTGGTCATAAAATGTTTTAAGCCACTAAATTTTGGGGTAGTTTACTCTGCAGCAGCAGGTAGCTTGAATAGGTGTAACTGAAAAATTTTTAAAAAGGAAGATTTATCTTATTCACCAATGCAGAATAAGAAAGCTCAAAAACATAGCATTTGCTGAGTCAGAAGGGAACTGTCTAAAATAGGTGACGACACGACATCCTTATCCTTTAGTGGCCTTTGACTTCAAAACTGGCCCCAGAGTTAAGCCCTCTTTTTGATGCTCAACACAGAAAATTAAAAGAAAATTTCATTTCAATCCAACCTTACCCACCCCCACCACATGTGTGTTGCACACAAACCTCATTTTTTAAACAGAGTTTATTGTATTTAATACATTATAAAATTTGAAAAATTGTAGGAAAGCAGCAGACGCAAACTGGAGCAATTCTAACAAGTAATAATTCTGGCCCCTTTGCAAAACTGAGCAGTTTAAAAACAAAGTAAAGTTCACATCTGTGAGGCGGACAAAAAAGTGTGACTTCTGTACAAACTACATTTAAAATCTCATGTCTAACGTCTTCCATATGCAATGTGCTCATGAGAGTTTTTCGGAAGTCCTGCCTGGTCCCTGTCCAAGAGAGACATGAAACCTCCATACGCAAAGAAACTAGATTCAAGGTGTCTGTTTTTGTTTCTGTTTCTTTTTTTGTTTTTTGTTTTTTATTAAAAAAAAAAAAAAAGGAAAAAGAAAGATAAAGGAAAAAGAAACAATGGATGGCTGTTGGCAATGAAAACTGTAAGGAGACTGTGTCCTCACCATTCATGGCTTTTATAGGTCGGAGGCCTCAGGAGGCCCAGGACACTTCACGGCCATCACAGCACCAACTGGAGCTATCACGGTTTTCTTCTTCTTCTTCTTTTTTTTTTTTGCATTTCCTACCATTTGACATATATATATATGTATATATATATTTATATATTTTTTACACCTTGAGGATATCATTATTCCAATTGTTCCCATATGAATACAGGTGTGGTCTCTAGTGGATATAAATGTGTCTTTTATTCGATTTTAGGTCCAGGACTTGGTTGGCTGTCCCAACTGCACACGGATGTCCCTTGCTTGTTTGTGTTATTTGTTGTGTGTTTTCCTTTTTTTGCAGAAGAAGTATGTCTATTAGTCCAGAGGCTCTTGCTTTATCCGGATGACAGAGGGCACACGGGGTGTCCGCCTCAGTTCCCGCCGGAGGACATATTCGCTGAACTGGGATGAGTCTACCCCTCCCCCACAGGAGCCCACAATTTCAAAGCCTCTTTGCTGCAACCTCTCGAGGACCTGTGAGGGGCCAAGACAAACATCTGGTTAGGTGCAAGGTCAATCCTCAGGCCACACCAATACCCCGACATTGTTTCCAAGCTTGAAATCATGTGCAGCTCTAGTTCATCTCATCCCACCCAAACATCCCTTTGAGCTTCTGCTCTTAAAAGAAAGCCCTGGATTAAAGGGCTGGAGAGAGGGACTACCAGATGGCATAATGGTTATGTTGCTGGACTCCCAGATAGTCGATGTGGTTCGAGGGCTGGATTTGGCAATTTAAAATTGATGTTGGGAGACCAGTAGACAGCATAATGATTTTCTCTCTCCCACATGGCTGACTGTGGTCCTAGTCCTGGACCCAGCAGCTTGAAACTCACACCGGGTGTGTGTGTGTGTGTGTGTGTGTGTGTGTGTGTGTGTGCATGCCCCAAATCTTGAGAGGTGAATGGAGGAGAAGGGATTGCCACATGGCCATCCCCCATAGGGGGCGATTTCTTACTTTCTGTCTCTCTGCCTCTCTGGCAAACGCACACACCCTATAGCAAAAAAATCTCTAACAAAGAAAAAAAAACTGACTCCAGGTATGTGTGCATGCATGCAATCTCGAGAAGAGAATGAAGGAAAAGGAATTATAGCATGCCATTCCCCTGGGGGGGAGGGGTGATTTCTTGTTTCCTAGCTCTCTATCTCCCCAGCAAGCACATGTACCCTATAGCAAAAATCTCTCTCTTAAAAAAAAAAAAAAGGAGTCAGAGAGAGGGAGCAAATGTTTCTAATACTTTGTGCCTTTGTATGGTTGTTTTACACCTGCCAGTTACATCAGGTCTTATCTATTTTATAGATGAGAAAACTGAGGCTCATGGCTAAGTGCTGGAGCTGGGTTTCTAACTCAGGTCTTTTGATATCAAATCTCCCCTGCCCCTTTCTTGGAATGTGCAATGCTATGCTTGTCTGAAGGAAATGAGAGTTCACATTTCAAAGCTCATTTACCACTAAATTATATTCTATGAGATGATAAAAGATATGGGAAAAGTGATAGGCGAATTTCCTTGGTGATTCATTTATACTTTTGACTCTGCTACTGTTCAATTTTCCCAATACTGAGTTAATATTCTCTATCTCAGCTTGGAAGATTGGTAATTTCTTTTTCTTTTCTTTTCTTTTCTTTTCTTTTCTTTTCTTTTCTTTTCTTTTCTTTCTTTTCTTTTTGAGAGTTTTTTGCTATAGGGCACATGCACTTGCCAGAAAGACAGAGAGAGACAGAGAGATAGAAAGCGAGAAATCACCCCACCAGAGGGGATGGCCACGCCGCAATCCCTTCTCCTCCATTCTCCTCTCGGGATCTTGGGCATGCATGTACACGTGCCTGGTGTGAGTTTAAGCCACCAGTCTGGAACTTGAACTGTGGTCAACTACATGGGAGTCCAGCGACCGTGGTCAACTACATGGGAGTCCAGCTGTTCCCAGGAAGATTGGTAATTTCAATAGCTGAACAAATGGAATACCAAAGACAACGAAGGTTTATCTATAGTTTTTCAAGTCTGTGGCATTTGAAATAGACTTGTTAGCTTGTATGCATGCAAGCAAGCAAGAATGAATGTAGTGGTCACATATTAGAAAATATACTCAAAATAAGCTATTCTAAATTCCTCATATGGGGGGATCTTCAAAAAGTTCACAGAAAATGCATATTATGAAAAAAAAATTGCATGAGTTTTAATTTTGGGGGGGCACCAAAATAAACTTGTACTTTCATCCCATTTTTCCAAGTACTTTTTGAAGCCTTTTCCTATAAACGTAAACCAGATCATCTACTCTAATCCTGAAATCAATATGTAGTGCCACAAAGATGCCTGTGTTTGTCACTACCTGTCTGACACTCTTAAATGTAGCAAACAGCACCGGTGAGTCCCAGACATGTGAAAATACAGGAAACTGATATAGAGCACTCAGTTTCTTTGTGAATCCAGCAACTCTTAGACTTGCAAAAGTTCCCTGCCAGGATTCTGCATGTGATTAAATTGCTTCTACACCACTCTAAAGGCAAGATGACTCAATTACAACTTTAAAAAAAAAATGCCTGCCTCAAGTTTGTTTTGGAATGAAGTGAAATGTTACTAAATTAACTCTCAAAATATAGTCAGTATTAAGTTAACTTTTAAAAAAATTAATATTTTTGGGTTACCTATGAAGAATATCACCTAATGTCTGGCAAAACAGCCTGCCAGAAGAGATTGGAAAGCAGGAGAATATGCTTTCTGAAAACTTAAACTTCAAATATTGGCCAGTTGAAAGAAAAAAAAAGAAAAAAAAATCTTTAAGAGAACAAAGTTAATATTTCACCCTATAGTGCTCTATTTCTGTAGGCAAATTCACAGTGTATGTGCACACCAGTCAACAAAAGCAATAGATGAAGAAAATAATCTGCAAGTTTAAAATCAGGATGTGGGGACCAGCAGGTGGCATAATAGTTATGTTGCTGGACTCCCATGTAGTTGACTGTGCTTCGAGTCCCAGACCCAGTGGCTGAGACTCACACTAGGCACATGTGTGTGCATGAGGGAAATGGAGAAAGGATTGCGGCATGGCCATCCCTCCCTCCCCCCCATCCTCAGGAGGAAGGGAGTGATTTCTGTCTCTCTTTGTCTCTCCAGCAAGCCTGTGTGCCTTATAGCAAAAATCTCTCTTACAAAAAATTAGGATGTGCTTTGGTGACAGGTGAATAAAAAGGTGAAGAATGAGAAGAATTTTCCAGCTGAAAGAGGAATGTAACTTGTCATCAAGAAACACCCCAGTTGTGAGGCTGAATCACTGCACTGAAAAGGATTATTTGCCATGATTAGGAGAGGAGACAAAGGTAAAGGAATCTGTGAACAATCAAGAAATCTAACCCTGATTTCCGTTTTTCTTTCAGTGCTGTTACAGTCACTAAATTATTAATATAAGGAAATCTCTAAGCCTCTCCTTCCCCAGGGGGTCTGATATGCATAAGAGGAGGATTATTTAATATGAACCAATGATACCTTGGATGTAGTCAAACTTATTTCAATATAATGCCAATAGTTTATGAGGTCATAATTGTGTTTGTTTTCTTTTTTAGATTTGCTTGCCACAGGGCAGCCCCTAGCATGAGAGAGAAAGAGAGAGGGAAGGTGAGAAATCATCTCCCAGGGGAGATGACCATGCAGCAATCCCTTCTCCATTTTCCTCTTGGGATGAGGAGCACACATACTGGGCATGATTTTCAAGCCACTAGGTCTGGGACTTGAATCTTTTGGCCATGTGGGAATCCAGCGCCTTAACCATCTTGCCATCTGTTGGCCTGATGCTTACTTTTTAAACATCAATTTAGTAGCAAAAAAAAATCAGTGATCATTCAAGAATGTGAAACAATTTAGAGAGATACCAGGCATCACACGCTAATCCCAGGTCTGTACAAGCCTACAGGCCAGAGCTTGCTTCTTGGTCGGTGGAGCAGGAAGCAAGAGTGAGTTGGAAGACAATGTTAATCCAGATGACAATTTCCACATCTGATCTGGGAACTGTGTCAAGCATGAGAATTGATGGTAGTTATTCACTAGCCCCAAGGGTGGGGCTAAGGTCTTCCCATGCTGGTTCTGAATGGTTCTGCCCTTCCCTCCATTAGTGGAGTGCCTGGGCAGTGGGGTGTGGAAGGATAAAGCCTGGGCTTTCAAGGCTGTTAGAAGCTGCAGAGGCCAGCTCAGGAGCACTGCACAGAGCAGCGTGGCACTGCCACGCACCTCCAGGGGGCGCCATCTGCATAGATGAGAATGTGAATGTCGCCCTCGGCAACTGTGCAACCCAGCAGCCACCTGGCTGCTGGAGAATGTGTGCCTTCCTCTAAGCCTGCCGGTGGGTCACTTTCTGCCTGTTTTCTGCTGTTCTGATCTCAGACAGCAGCCCATAACATTTAAAAATGATAAATACTGTAAAACATCCTCAAGAGGCAGCATGACACGGTCAGTGTGTCTGGTCTTTGTGCTTTGGGAGAGGTCTGTTGTCTAAATATAAACAACGTCATAGGCTCGTTCCAATAAAAAGAGGAGGAAAAAAAAAATCAAAATCCTTTCCCCATTGGCTTCACATAGTTTTATGTCACATAAAGCTAGAGACAGGACTCAGGTGTGCCTTCATTTACTCGTCAGCAAGACAGGGGGATTAATAGTGCTTATCTCTTAAAGTTGTCATAAGAAGACAATGCGTGCACAAGCCCTGGCCAGGGTACGGCTGGGAGGGAGGACTTAGCACATGTTAGTGAAGCAGACTGACAGCACCTAAGGTGCAAGGCACAGTTCTGAATTCTACCCATGTCTCCTCTTCCCATAGCCTTTTCTGTCCCAGAAAATGGCAATTCCATTCACCTACTATAGTTCCTCTGTCAAATATATCTTAGTTCTTCTGGGCTTATGTCTTACCACCCACAGCTACTGTTAGAAAATCTTGTTAACTCCAGGGACCAGCAGGTGGCATAATGGTTACATCACTAGGCCCACATAGTCAACCACGGTTTGAGTCCCGGACTTAAACTTGGACCAGGTGTGTGTGCGTACGTGCCTCAAATTTCGAGAGAATGGAGAAAAGGGATTGTGATGTGGCCATCCCCTCTGGGAAGGGGGTGATTTCTCACGTTCTGTCTCTCTCTGGTGAGCACGTATGTACCCTACAGCAAAAAAATCTCTCTCAAATGAAAAAAGAAAATCTTGTTAACTCCATACTCAAGATACTCAGAGCTGGCCACTCTTGCTTGGCCCATAGCTTTCTACCTATTTCTTACTTCCACTATTTTCTACATGCTGCTGGAGTATTCATATTAAAATACGCCTTTAAACAAGTAAAACCCAAGAGAAACCAAAACAAAAATTGCCTACTAGAATTTCTTTCTAGAATGCCTACTATTCTCTATAAGGTTCTTCTTGATTCATCCCTGGTCACTTTTGGCTTGGTATCCTCCATGATTCGCTTTCTTCAAGTTCTGCTGGCTTTCTGGATATTCCTCAATATATCCAGCGTACTCCCACCTCGAGGGCCTTCTGGAGTGCGGATCCCTCTGCCTGGAATACTCTATCTACCTCAGAGATCCGCTTATCACTACCTGGGCAACATTCATGCTGATGAGTGTCTGCCCCCACCCCACTCCCTGAACACACAGCTGGTCTGTCTTGTTCTCTTTATCTCTGGCGCCACGCCAGCACCTGGCACCGAGTAAGTGTTCAACCAAGATCCGTGGAATGACTGAAAGCCACAGAGGGTGAACAGCACACCGACCCGACAGAGATGATGCTAATGGGAGTTTCTTAGCTCTTGGAAGGCAAGGGTAAGTGACAGCAGTAAGAGTGACATTTGATGCCACACAGAGTGTAATACTATACCTGGACTGAGTTGAGGTGACAGTAGCCATTTAGTGGAAACCTGATGACGTGCGTAGAGTCGTGATTCCAGCCTGCGTTGACAGAGTTACACATCACATCTCCGATCTCTGGAAACACTTCTTCTATCAAGGATTTGTCTCCGCTGAGTGTGATTCTTTCTCCAAGGTCTGGGGCCACACGCACCACAAGGCACTCGCAAGGCCTTGAAAAGCGACCAGTTTCTCTATCCTGCTTCCATCTTTCCATCTCCAACAACATGGGCTGCAGCTGGAAATATTTTGCCTCTTCATATAACAAGGTATAGTCCTGGGGGGAAAAGGCATTTTACTGTGCAAAATGTAAACACAGTGTACTGCAAAGGCACACGTTTGGGAGGTGGTTTTTTTCACCTCTGGTGTTACTTCGGTCATCAAAGCTCAGTGTACATTCCTCCCCTTGCACATGTTGGTAAAGACTCAATTTGCATTCACTGGTTCATTCATTCAGTGATGATGAAAGGAGCTAACGCTATGAAGGGCCAGGCAGGCCTCTTCTAAGTGCTTTCCATAAACCAAGTTGATAAAGGTCACAATCAGTGAGCTGGGAGCCATTATTATTCCCATCTTGCAGATGAGAAAACTGAGAGGAATGAATTCACCCAAGTCTTTTCTACTTGAGTAGAAAAACACCCTTGGGTATTTAAGTTTGGGTGTGTTGGTGAGAATCCAATGTATATCCTCTTGGTGCAACCTACATATCAACTAAGGTGAGGTATGCTTGAATATGCACGCTTCATCTGAAGCTAATGCTCCTCGTCACCTTCAGTGGCAGCTCCAGAACGCGTCGCAGGAGCATGTGTGGCAGTGATGTTGTAACAGTGGGTGGGAACCTGGAGGGTAAGCGGGTGGCTTTTACTTAAACCTGGGTGTTGATTCGTGATAATTTGGGGAAAGCTACTGGAAATTTGGAAGCCTAACACCCTACCTTTCACCACCCGTCAGACGGGTCCTGCAAGGTACAGGTGCAAAAAGGAAACTAGTCCATTTCTGAAAGCACAATCACCTACTCTTTAGGCATAATGTCTTCTTCTTTGGCCTTACAAAAAAAATCTACTGAATTAAAACAGAAATCTAACCATTGGGTACTAAAACACACACAAGTCATTGAATGGGAAGACAAAAGAGAATGAGGTGGAGGTCACAACTTAGGAACACTGTTAACAAGCAGGTCAATATTGTGCCTAAACGTAGCTATGGCCACAATCATCTCTAGGTGTGAGATAAGAGAATACTTGTCCAGACACGTTGACTGAGAGTGTTTTAATCAATTGACACAGACATTTCTGTCTTCCTCCCATGGGCTGGAGCTGGCAGGCGGTGTCTGGTGCCTATGTGAGGGCCAGTGGGGTAAATGCCAGGCCTGAGTTCCTCAGAGGTCTCTGCTATTTAGACAGGATGGAGTATGAGATACAGAGGATGAGCATGGGAGAACTGTTTTTACTCTGCACTTTGCTTTCTCTTGCAGATCAAGCAGCAGCCACAGCATCAAGGTTTCCAGGAAAAACAGTACGGAGAGATAAGAGTGCCAGTGGGCCTCTAGCTGTATGATCCACTTTCTCTATTCAGAAATTCGGGCTAGGCCAAAACATCCGTGCTCATCTCAGGAGAACAGGCTGCTTCTTTATTTTGTCCTTCTCCTACAATCCCTTTACTATAGGAGTCTTGGTTCCCTACAGGAAAGGAATCCACTGCTGTGCAATCTTCCTGACACATCTTTCTACCTGTTTAACCTCCCAACCTATAAGAGACAAGGTTTGAGGAGTTGAGAACTAAGCTGAGGTGTGGCCATGCTTAAGGCAGGGCAGAACTGGGCCCCCCCTAGCCCAGCCTTGCGGGTAGGAGTAGGGAGACTCTGCAGGTTCTTCTGGTCTACCTGGGAGCCTCACTACCAGGCCTTGCTATCTTTGAATTATGCCAGCTGTGAGATACTGACCTAAATATCCACCTACTTATTGAGATGACAGCCCTTCAAAAGATTTAAAAGAAGCATTGACTTACACAAGCAATAGAAGTGAGAACTTCAGCTACTGTTTTTTTTTTTTAATGTTTATTTTCCTGTGAGTTTTAATTACAAATTTTAGAAGAAGGAAAGATCTGGACTGCGGTAGAAACATACCTTGCCTTTTAGAGCCAACAAGTCTTCAACTTCTATAGTAAAGGTGCTTACCGTGTGGTCTTCTTGACCAACTTGGACTCTATGGAGTTGTTCCCAGCGTCGGTGAATGGTGAACCATTCAGCCCCTGACTGAATGCTCCCAGCTACAGGAAGCTTACTATATCACCGGGCATAGCATTTAGTCTGTTGGCAGCTCTGATTTTTACAAATGTCTTCATTAGAAAGACCTGAATTTCCTGGCAACATCCATTTATTTGTCCTAATTCTGTCCTCTGAGGTTACGGTGATTCTAATCTATCGCCGACATGGTAACCCTTCCAACGTGTGAAGAAAACTGTTAGTTAGGTCTTAATATTGTTCAGGCTGAATAATACCCAATCTTTTCAACTCTTTCTCATTTGTTACAGTTCTAAAGTGCTCCAGCCTCCAGTGCGTACTTGGTTTTGTCAACATGCTTCCTAAAACCCAAAACAGAATGGAACCTGACGTTTCAGATGTGACCTTTGTTTGGCCACACGCTCCAGCCACTACCAGTGCAGTCTATATTGGTGTCCTATTGCTGCCGTAAAGATTACTACAAATTTACTGGCTTAAAAGGACATAAACTTCTCTTCCAGTTCTGGTCAGAGGAGAAAGAAGTCTAAAATGGGTGAGAAAGCCTGCGTTTCCTCTGGACTCTAGAGGAAAGTCCGTTTGCTTGCCCTTTCCAGTTTCCACGGGCTGCATGCCTTCTGTGGCTCATGGTCCTACTTCACTCCTACCTCTGCTTCTGTTGTCTCGTTGCCTTTTCTCACTTAACCCTCCAACCCTCTCTTTCATGTATGAGGATCCCTGTAAATACACTAGGTCCACCCCAGGTAATTCAGGACAATCTCCCCACTCTAAGATCCTTCACATGATCACATCTGCGAAGTCCCTGTTGCCACGTAAGGTAACATATTCATAGCTTCCAGGAATCAGGATGTGGCCATCTTGGGTGTATGGTGGGGGCGGCATTATTCTGCCTACATGGCATAAGGCTGTTGTCTTTGTTGGCAGTCCCATTCACTGTTAAACCTTTTCATAAAGGTTGCTATGAGACAGGTCTTTATTTCTTTTTAAATTTTTTTCTATAGGGCGTGTGTGGTTGCTGGAGAGAGACAGGGGAAGAGAAAGAGGAGAGAGGAAAAATAAATTTTTTAAAAAAGCACTCCTTCCAATATGGGGCGTGGTCATGTTACAATCCTTTCACCTCCATTTCTCCCTCATTTTGAGATCCTGGGCATGCACAAGTGCCTGGCACACTTTCTAAGCCCCCAGGTCAGGAACTCAAACTACAGTCAGCCTTGTGGGCTCCAGTCACCTTAAGGATCACACCTTGGCTGGCCAAGCTAGAGCTTTCTTATTAAGTGTTTATGAAAACCATAAATAGTTGTAGTTTCCTCTTTAACTTTTATACTGTAGGTTCTGAATTTGTTCCAACTTACTGGGAAAACATAGATTCTTTTATCCAGTGTTCTAAGTCTCCCTCTCATTTTTTGTGTCATTTTGAACCATATGTTCTATTTCTTTATATGAATCTTTTCTTTCTTTTTTTTTTTTTTGAAGAGGTTTTTGCTATAGTGCACGTGTGCTTGCCAGACAGACAGAAAGAGACAGAGAGACAGAAAGCAAGAAATCACCCCCCAGGGGGGATGGCCACGCCACTATCCCTTCTCCTCCATTCTCCTCTCGGGATCTTGGACACGCACGCACACACGCCTGGCATGAGTTTTAAGCCACTGGGTCCAGGATGTGAACCGCGGTCAACTACATGGGAGTCCAGCGACATAGCCATTACGCTAACTGCTGGTCCCTTTATATGAATCATTTCTTAAGGCACCAAGATCACCAGGCTACATGCAGCCATTTGTTCAGGATGGTGCTCAGGTAACAAATGAAGACTCTGGAATTTGGCTGTTCAAGTAGCTATAAAACCTATAATTCTGGAGCTGGCAGGTGGTGTGGTGGTTAAGGGTGCTGGACTCTCACATGGCTGACTGCAGTTCGAGTCCCGGACCTGGCAGCCTACTTTCTCCTATTCTCTCTCTCTCACTCTATTCCTCTCTGGTCAAATTAAAATACATACATACATACATACATACATTTAAAGCAAACAAACAAAACCCCTATAATCCTAAAAATCGTCCAGTTTATAGTGGTGCCAAGCATCTGGCTGAAATACGGTACGTTTAGTGGGGCTCTGAGAGGAAGGTTGGAGTTGTGGCAAAGTCCTAGCCTTCTTTACTGCCTACTGAGTCTCCTTAACTGTCTAGGGCTCCAGTCTTCTTATCCATATTACAAAGGGAATAAATTACACTGAAGTTGCGTCTAAGGCCAGCCCTGATGGTATAGGGATTTGGTGCAATGCTGGGGCCACATGGAGGACCAGGTTTGGATTCTGAATCTATCTGAACAGACTGGGCATGTCTGTATGTGCCCATAACCCTGGCTGGCTGGGAGGCTGAAGGAGGGCCATGACACTGTGAGACCCCGTTGAGGGTAACTGCTCTCTCTTCTTTTTTTTTTTCTTTTTTGGAGAGGTTTTTGCTATAGGGCTCATGCACTCGCCAGAAAGATAGAGAGAGACAGAGAGACAGAAAGCGAGACATCACCCCCCAGGGGGTGATGGCCATGCTGCAATCCCTTCTCCTCTTGGGATCATGGGCATGCACACACATGCGCCTGGCGTGAGTTTAAGTCACCGGGTCTGGGACTTGAACCACGGTCGACTACATGGGACTCCAGCAACGTAGCCATTTCACCATCTGCTGGTCCTGAGGGTAACTGCACTCTCTCTCTCTGTTTCACATGAAATAAAAAAAAAAGAAATGGAAAAAAAGTTGCTTCCAGCCTTGATAGTCCATGATTCTGTGTCCATGACAAAGCCCTGACCTACCAACTTGTCTATTTTAACCCAAAGAGAATGAGGCAAACAGACCTGGGAGTTAAAAGTTTCCCCAGGCTAACTCTGAGTCCTCACAATCTTTTCTTTCCTCTAAGTTCATAAACCATGTGTTTATTAATCTACTCTGAAGTCTGGCCATGGATAGACAGGGCATCTGCCAATAAAATGCTTTTCTGATTCATTGTTACCTACCCTTGGAAAATTAGAGAAACACTGGTCCTTTTCA